GTTAATACACCTAAAATGTTTTGAACACTGCTTGGCATACACTCAATAAATGATTGCTAGTTTTTTTTGTTTTTGTTTTTGTTTATTCCTAATTAAAATCTTTCATGGTGGGGGGGTTCTACTATTTTTGATTGTAGAAACTGAGTTTAAGTTTAAAGAAATTTGCCTAAGGTTACATATTTATAAATGTTGAAGCCAAAATTTAAATCTAGGCACTCTTCACATCAGTAAGTCATACACTTACAATACATAAAATATATTTCCTAAAAATTATATATGTATATTTTTAACTTTATCTTATGTCCTCGATCAGTGATTCTTCAAGAATGCTCCCCAGACCAGCAGCATGAACATCAGCTGAGAACTTGTTAAAAATGTCAGTTTTCAGGCAAGCCCCATCCCACATCTGTCATTCAAAGTTGACGTTACAAGGGCAGCCATGTGCAGTTAAATACCTTCAAAATCTCCAAACTTGAAAATTCTATTTATGGAGACTACAATAAGAAACTTAATGGCTAATATTATTAATGACTCTTTCAGTTCAGGAAAGGGAAATCAAAAATTTTAAATTGTTTTCAGAGACATTTGATTCTTTTTCTGCCACAGCAGGCATGCTTGACATGCTACACCATAGCTCGCCCTGGGAAATACATCCATTCAAGGGGAGAGGAGTTTCTTGGGATAATCTCCACTGGGAGGGAACATGGAACATACATGGAAAAGGAAAGACCATCATGTGACTAGAGCAATCCGAGAATGAGAAAGAGGAGAGATGAATCTGGGGAGATCAGCTGGAACCAGAGGAGAAAGGGATTTGAGGACAACGCTATAGACTTTGGCTTTATTCTTAAAAATAGTAAGAAGTCATGGAGAGGTTTTGTACAGGAAGATGACATGAGCATAACTGCCTTACCAAAAGATTCCTTAGTGGATAAAGAAAAGTTTTTCTGAGAATCAACAGGGTGGCTTAAGTAGCTTAAACTCTAAAGAGTTCCTGCTGTGTCTCCAATTTGTCAGTGAGGCAAGTAATATAAACAGAGGTTCATCATCATTATGGTCTTTGCCATCATCATCATAGACTGGGGCCAGCAAAAAACCCAGTTCCTACATGCACATCCCAGTGGTCACACAGCTGCATTCTAATGTTCTTCTGGGAAGAGATGCCAGTGCCAACAGTGGCACAGAGAATATGCTCAGAAAAAAGCAACACAAATGAACTCACAGTTATTTGGCTCAGTTTTCAGAATCCATCTTAAAAACAAAAGCATTTTTCAGTAGCCAAAGAAGATGGAAAATGCTGGCAACTGGCAAAATTATTACTGAACCTGTAACAATCTTGCCTTACTTAGTAGCAATGTCCCTTGAATATTTTTTCTGCTATGCTCGCATAGAAACATCTGTGTTTACATCAGGGAATGTGAAATATAGAGACAAAAAAGAAACGACTAAATAGGATTAAAGGACCAAAATCAGTTTGATGTGGCATTTAATAGCAAGGAGGGAGCCAAACCACATGACTGGTAGTTACAAAATGGATAAACACACTGGAATGAAAATAAAAACCAGCTCTGACAATCGAGAAAAATCCTTGCATTTTGGCAGGGCATTTATATGCCTGCTGTGTTCACTTTCCTCATCCTCAAACTTACTGCTTATTTAGAAAAATAAAGGAGGAATGCGGTGGGAAGATGAGCAGTGATACAGCATCATTCCTTTTTTTAGCCCATCACTTCCGCTGGAATTCCTGTTGGGAAGTTGGTCCAGTGTACAAGAGAAACCCTACAGCAAAGAATTCTGATTTGTAATAGCATTTGCAGAGTTCTTATTTTTCTGATAATGCTACAATTGCTTCAACTCTTTAATAAAATATAAAGTGTATGATATCTCTGGTACAAAAATTCAGTTAAAAGTTTTATTTAACAAGCACATTAAAATGGAAAAAAACAGCCCCCCATTACACAGATTACTACAGAGAACTTTAAATTATTAAATCTATATTTTTATAACGTTAAGGTAAGTGAGCCTTTCTAAACATGAAGCTATAAAGGAAAAAAGTTGATTGACCTGAATATATAAAACTTTAAAGTTTTTACGCGATGTAAAAGTGTGATAAGCAAAATTTTTAAAACCCAGCAACAAATAAAGACATAAAACCAATTCTGAAGATATGGAACAAAATATAATTAAACTTTGTTGTCTTAGTTTTTGACAATATCTATAATTTCCTTTGGAGATATTATGTCATCTCTTCACAGCCTTGCAAAATAAATAGTAGCAAGTAGTTAACCCGAGAATGTAAAAGCAGAATGAATATTATTTACTCTATCAGCTTTATGAGTATGAACTTGTGCAATGGCACAGGGCCCAAGCTTGCAAGATCCCTATGCTTGGTCTAATACTATGTTGCCAACATCTTGAAATTTTTAACAATTTTTGAAAAAGGATCCCTGAATTTTCATTTTTCACTGGGCCCTGAAAATTATGTACTGGTCCTACACTCACTGTCCTATACACTGCCTGTATCAAAGCCGTAAGTTTTGTACCAAAGAAGAATAGCAAGATGCTTAAGAAATAGCTCTAGTAGTAAAATGTTTAGAAGTAGAAATAAGTTTAGTAGTCAGATTATAATAAAACAAAGTAGAAAATGAGACACATGGTAAAGATGAGGCTCTAGGGGAGGGAGAGGTTATTTCTTGGGGGAATGAGAGCACTATATGTAGAAGAGACAGCTTTTAGTTGAACCTAAAAAGAGTGATTTGAACATTGACGATGGGGAAAAAAGGCAAGAGAGGCAGTATGCTATACCAAAGCACAGAGACTGCCTGGGCACATGGAATCATTTGGTTTGCCTGGGGCAAAAAGAAACCAGGCTGAAAAATCATGCTGGCATTGGCTGTGGGAGAGCCTTGAATATTCCAGCTAATGAAGCAATACATAATTCAACAGGACTTGTGAGCCACTGAAGGGTTATAAAGAAAGAACCAGTTGGTCACAGTCATAATTTAGGGAAGATTAAAGCTGGCCCCAGGCAATGATGGTCTTGTGTCACCTCTCTGAATTTCCTGCTCAGTACTACATTCACAAATGATAGAGACTTGATATTTTATACAGTAGCTGGATGGAAGGTGAAAAAGTCAGTGCCTATGTCTTTTTAATTCAACCAGTTATAGTTTACCTGCTATATAAGCTGACGAACAAGAAATGTTCATTGACTCCAAAGAACCAACTTTTACTGTTTAAGGTATGACTTTTCAGAATAATAACAAATTTAGGCAGCTCAGAGAATATAAAAATAAACAATATCCAAGGTCAATTAAAAAAAAAAAAATCCCTCTCACTCTCTGCCTCTGAGAGGAGATCACACTCTGTGGAGTGTTACCCCTTTTATAATAAACTTTGCTTTTGACTCAAAAAAAAACAAAAAACAAAAAACACAGTAAGACATCTCCAGTCTCTGTTTCCTGAAATATCACCTCTAAAAAACGTTTTTGTTAGAATTATGCAACATTGACATTCCATTTCCTTGTAAAAACAAACTTATGGAAGCAGAAACCAACATCATAAGTGCCCAAGACTTAGGCACATGATACAAATAATACATTGATTACCAATTGAGATCTTTCTCTATTAGAGCTGCATCAGAACAAATCAGTAACTTGTACTTCAACTAAAAGGTTAAACATATTAATCTCTTTCTCCATAGACATTCACACATACATGCACCTAAATCTCTCTATGTATCATATATATACACACATATATATCAACACCTATACATATTAATATATACACATATACCAACAAACACAAGCACATGCGTATGGCCTCTAAATGAGTTTCCTTGCAATCTATACTAAACTCCAAACAAATTTACATTTCTATTTCTTCTAAATGTTTTATCCAATTATATTGAAGAAAAAGCCCAACACCCCATTGAGTAATAGTTCAATATATTACTTGACATCAACTTAGAATGTTATTGTCCATTTAGCAAGAATATGAATAAATTTTATGTGAAAATGAAAAATATATAAATATCGAAATACTGAAGTAAGGAATATTAAAATTGCACCTTAGGAAAATGCAATATATATCTCTTAAGATGTACCACTGAAAAAACATGTAAACTCGATTTTTTAGCTTCACTTAAACCATTTCTTCATCCCAAAATAATATAAATTGAAAAAGCCACTTTTATATTGCAGCTATCAAAAATGAAATCTTAATTAATGATACACACCCCATTAGTTCACATAATCATTGCAGCGCTATTTAATGATGGTTCTATTTTCAAATGAAAGGTGATTAACTGCTTTCTGAAAAGTCAGTTGTCAATATTCTTTGTAATAATAACATATTTTCTTAAAATTAAAATAAGCTTAGAGAGAAAAAAATTCATTTTAGTGAGCCTCAGTGTTTTTCTAAGAAATGACAAGCTGGTTTTTTAAATTCCAATTTCTATGCTGTATTGAGTTATTATGATAATATATAATATCAAGAAAAGAAAAGCTTTTGATATTTTGAAACTATAACTTGAAATGAATTTAATTTGGGAAACTAAACTCAGGATTAAAGGATAATAAGCTTCTTCCTGAAACTTTTCCATCTTAGTCATCTGACCTTTAATATGAAAACTTACACAAGAGATGATTCAGTCTTACGATGCAGGTTGTTTTAGAAGAGAGACCATAAATATATTAACTGATACATAGAAATGGACTCAATATCCATTTCTTGTTCAAGCAAAATCTCATCTATTTCTCTGAGCTGTACTCCTCTACGAGAGAAAGTTGAATGAAACGATGAAGTTCTGACTTAACCTCATATCATGATAATAGATACTAGAAATATGAAGGAGCTAGTACGAAGTCTTGCACTTCCACAAATTCATAGGCTATTAAGATTGAGATAAAGGCAAAAATTCTTCCCTGTGCTGCACTTGGGAGAAGAGGATTGTAAAGGCAATAAACAGGTCTCAGAAAGAAAAGAAAGCACCCTACCTTTTTAAAAATTCCATATACTCGGTATGCTTGATGAGTCCTGTCCTCATCATTATTGTTTGAAAACATTGTCGATCAATAGCCCAGAGCTTCACATTTACAAGAGCTGGAGGAAAAAAAAAAAAAAAAAAAAAAAAAACGGGGAAAATTAATTATAGAATTTTAACTGGGAACTATATCCTGCAAAAAGAGATGAGTTATTCATGAGAGGTATGAAAATGACTAGTCTTCATTTAAAGCTGTTATCATAATGTTATCCTGTTGCATAGTTCATAATTTTCTATACTAGCATTAATGTCTAAAAGAAAGGTTTCTGTTGCTCTATGTCCTGAAGGGATGAGGATAACTAAGTACACATTGAAAGTATTTAGTAATTCCACAATTATAGATGAAAGAAATTGCATGAAGAGAAAAAGAGGTTCAGAAGTAATAACACTCCCTGATAATTACCACAATAGTGCTAATGACTCATATGACCGTATTTTAATTGTAAAAACCAGAGGTGAAAATTCAATTTTCCGATTTAGGGGTAAATTTAGTACAATAGAAATCATAATTACACAATAATTTCTACACGAAGCTCATTTTACAAATTGCAACCTGTTCCCAAAGTTACCAAATAAAGTTATATTAGATATGTTTGTTGAATTTTAATTTCTGCTTTTACATACCACTGTCTTTAACAATGAATAAGTGCTAAAACTGAACATCACAGAATTTAACTATTTGATCTATTAAGCACATGAATAAGAAAAAAATTTTAGAAAAATGCAGATGTTATGTCTCAAAATACTTGGGTTTTAAAAGAGTACACTAAAAATCTTGGTAATTGAACATGTTTGGTAGATATACAAAATGCTTACTTTACCATTTTCTCTATTTTTATGTATGTCAGCAAATTTTCAAACAGAAAATGTTGTATGTTAGCGCATGAATTAAAGAAGCCAAGTCATATATGATACCCAAGGGGGATGGGGTGTGCAGGAATTTGAACAAGGCCATAGAATGGGGCCAGGATATAGTTTAATGAGCTACAGAAAGACAAGAGAAACACAATTTCTCTTATTCACAGTTCTCAGACTAAGTCCAGTAAATGTAAAGGATCAAGATTTGGAGGTAGGGGAAGGGAAAAATGTTAATTAGGCTAAGTGTGTGCCTGGTGGAGCAGGGCTAGAAGTAACACAGAGGAACGGGGAGATGATAAAAGAAATATTGTACTCTAGAGTAAATTTCTATCTTTGAATTTTACCTAATTTTCCTTGCAAATTGATTAAAGCTAAGAAACTAAAACAATATTTCTCTCTTGTCCAGCTCATTACTGGAGCGTAAAAAAGGTGCTCAGTTAAATAGAAGACTAGTGTGCATAGCTCCATTTCAAATACCCTTTAAAAATGAATCTTCATCAACAAAGCTCATCTCACAGGTATTTCCCAGCCATATTCGGAATCCAGCTCATTCTAGAACACCTGGTTACTTAAGACAAACCACGAGACTGGATGATATAGCCACAAAGAACTGCAAAAATCAGGAGAAGATTCATAACAAATAGAACCTTATAAAATGATAGGAGTTGAGTTAGAAGAAAGATGGACAAAAGGTAATCGAGTGAGAAAAGTACATAAACTAGAGCACAGCTGGAAGTGAGCTAGGGCTGTGGAAGTCCAGTCAGGGATAAAACAGACTAAAATGGCTGAGATTTCTGTAGAGTTGCTACATAATTTGCGACTAGGTTGTTAGAGAGTCCTGGAAGACAGGCATATGAAGCAAGGGTTAGTTTGATGAACAAAAGCTATTAAAGATCTTAAAAAGACAAGGAAAAAAAGAAAGCTAGAACTAAATTTTTAAAGGATATGCCATGGGTACTTCAAAAAATTTAAATGCTTACAAGAAAGAAAAATCAATATTTTCTGTATTTATTATCATTCTTAATAGTTCCTAGGTGTTATCTTTTGGGGGCGATTTGAACTCTGGAGTCACCCCAGCAGCATGGGGCGGGGTAATGAAGCAGAAGTGCAATTAACATTTTTCCTTATTTCTTCTGATGCAGCAAAGAACCACAGGTCAGCAAGATTTAGAAAAAGATTAAAGATATTTTAGAGAGACAGGGACCATGCTGCTAAAGAAGGCTGCAGCCTATGGAATTTGGGAGGTGAAAAGATAGAAATAAAGACAGAGTATGCCCAAAGGGAGGGATGGGTTTTCAGCCAAAAAAGCTGTAACAATGCACAATTGGGAAAGTCTGTATTATATTAGGGTGTTCAAAGGCATTCCTAAGTGATTGGCATGTGAGGTTATTTTGATTGACACTTGAATGCTATATTATTCTTTGCTTAGTGTACATGCGCTTACCAAGAATTCAGTCTGTTATAATTAGATTCATTAGAACTATATCATTAGAACTTCTGGGCATAAACATGGTATTATAATGATGGTATAGTGAGGCTGAGGTTGTGGGGAGGTTAGGGTAGTACCTTCTACGCAAGGGTCTGTGGCTAGATTAAACCAGCTATAGGTTATGGCTCTCCTGTCTTTTATCTCCTGGCATGCAGGAGGAATTCTCTACCAATGGGGTGTTCTTTGGGTGGTCTCTGAGTTGGGCCTCGATTCCTTCATTCCCCTGTCGCTCATGTCTAACAACCTAATATAGGTATTTTCAGTACAGGAATGCTGCCCTCCAAAGGACCAAAGCACCAACAATTATTTTTAAAACAGTGGCAATAAAAATAGTTGTGCTATTATATATATTTTCAAAATGTACCTCAAAGGGATGACTAGAAGTAAAATGTCTAAGTAAAACATACACACATTTTAAGATTTTGCCCTGCAGGAAGACTTCGCAACCCATACTCCTAGCAGTAGTATGTACATAAAAGTTTCTATTACAGGCTCTTAAACCTAAAGACATGATCACAGTGAGAGCTGAGAAAGACTAATCTTGGAAGGACATAACTTGGACTCAGAGACACTCAAGTCAAGCAAAATGTAAACACTGGTGCTGCCAAAAAACTGTAAAAACTGTAGGGCAGAGTAGTAATATGATGAAAGCTCTGTGTGAGGAAAAATGTTCTGGTAATATTGTGTGCACAGTTTCAAACAATGAGCAATAAGCACCAAGTAGAGGTCACAGTAATTCAGGAGTCAAGTGAGGAGGGTCTTAGTAAACATGGAAGCAATGGGATTAAGAGTAAGGGTGTGGCAGAGGTGTGTGTGTGTATGTCTGTGTTGTGACCTAGTTACCTGCAGCATTTTGAGTTTGTACTTTAAGGCCTGACTCTGTTCCTGGTCCCTCCTGACGATCAACCTTTCTGTCCTATAAACTACTATAGCTCTTTCCATTGATATCACTCACTGACACTTAGCACATGTTGCCAATATTAATTATCTCTGCTATGCCTATATTTTGCTTCCTCAAATAAGTTTGCTCCTTCCCTCAGAGAACTAAGTCCTTGTTTCAGTTCTTATGACATCCACCCACCTCAAGAAATTAGCTTTTCATTTGATAAGCATTGGGTCTATTTGTTATTTAATGTAATTTATGTACATGATATTATGTACATGATGCATTTTTTTTAAATGTAAGCTTCAGTGGACTCTAACGTCATATTAAAAAGTCTAAACTGAATTTATCAGATAATATAATCTGTGTGTTGAAATACGATCACTAAAAATAAGTTCACAGAATTCAATATTTTCATTTTATCTTCTGATTTCAATTTACATGGGCTATTGCAATGTCTCTAAGTAAAACTGTTTTAGATATTTTGCACAACAATGAACATGGCTTGAAGAGATTGCAAATTTGTCCATGACCTTGGGCAAGATGCCAAAACCTTTTTTATATTCAGCCAATATACATATTAGTCAAGTAAGCATTTTACAGGTGGGCAAGCATGACTAATAATCACCTTGCATTGATATCAAAAGTGGGGTTTTATTAGAGTTGTGATTAACATCTTGCTTCTTAAACAGACTGCCGGAGTGTATATCTGTTGCTTCCATAGCTTAAAGAGACCATTCAAAAGAAAAATTCATTTACCTTTGATATTAAGTGGCATATTAATCTCTGTAGGGAATAAGTACTTTGCAAATCAAATTCCCATGATTTTCACAATGATTACTATTGTTGAACATATAAGTTTGAAAGGCATAAAGCAGAGAAGGGAAGAGATTTTCTTTGTTCAAGTATATATCTAAAATTCCCTGCTGAAACATTTATCATTTTTTTCAGGGTAAGGCCACATTAAACTTAGTGGAAAATATGTAAGTTCCCACTACTCTTCCATCTCTAAGTGCACGAGTCCATTAACAATGCCTTCAACACAGGCAACACTTTGCTTTTGTTTAGAGGAAACCAAGATCATAGGGGAAGGAGCCACAAAATTGTACCAAACAAAGAGGTCACAAATCTGGAGTTGGCTTAAATTCTCCTACTGGGTAATTCACCTGCTATCCAATTCATTTTTTGGAATAATATTGAGAAAGCATGTGTGGGTATAAAGTATTATAGATTATAATATTTATTCGTCCCATATTTATTTTATACTAATCTAGCTGACACTGGTGCTATATATAAGGGAGAGAAAAATTTACAGTTCCTACTCTCAAAAAATGTGTGATCTGGTACAGAAGCCAACAAATTATGAGCTATGTCAAATCTGGCCTCTGATTTGTTTTGTACAGCCCACTGGTTAAGAATAGATTTTGTGTTTTTAAATAGTTAAAAAGTTTAAAAAGAAAAATATTTTGCAACGCATAAGAATTATAAGAAACAAATTTTAGTGTTCATAAAAGTCTTACTGGAATATAGCCATGCCCATTCTTTTACATATTGTCTCTGGCTTAATTGAATGGTTTTGACAGAGACCATTTACACTGCAAAGCCTAAAATATTTACTACTTGGCCCTTTAAGAAAACACTTGTCAACTCCTGGTCTGGTATAATAAACAAAGCTGGTCTGGTATAATAAACAAGTCAAGCGTAAGTGCTAGCAGGAGCTAAGTACCTGGGGCTGCGAATGCACACAGAAGGCATTAGGGACTCTCCATGGGGAGGAGCTGAGAAAGGCTGATTCAAGGCTTCTGCAGAAGAGAATCATTTGAGCCAGT